GTAGTAGCTAAAATCATGGGCTCTTTTGCGTCCCCTTTAAAACAATTAAGGGCCGAACTAGACAAGGCCAACTGGTTATCCCTCACTGCCTGAATTACCAACAGTTTTCTCATGTTACAAAAGCTTTATGTTTTAAGTCCCAGGCCGATGCAAAAACTCGAAACCAAGGAGCCAATACACTGGCTGATTGTCACAAATACAGTGTCCTTGCGGATAAAAGAACGTTCCCGAGATACATATTCAAAACAATAACTGGTGATTTTGGCAGCCTGAAGATTAAAAACTCAGCAAGATTTTAACGTAGCGTTTCTCTTTGTCGGTAGCGTAAATTTCTTTTACTCACATTTGTCGATCGTACTCAGTCTGATCACAGTCCGCTCTTCAGTTCTCGCCGTGTTCAACGTTATCTCTTTTCCGTCGCCTGCCTCGTGTCCTTCATTTTAAAAAAAACAATTATGAAAAACATGATTACTTTAAACTTGCTAACAAAAGTTTTATTCAGTTAAATGGAGTATTGGTAAACAAAAAAAGTTTAGTCGTCAAAGCTATTGGATCTTTAAGCGAACCAATTAACGTTTTCTTATTAGCAAATTTCGTCTAATTAAAAAGACATTAATATATCAGAATAATAGAGATGTCCGCTTAAAACAGGTTCGTTTAAAAAAATTCGGAATCAGTTTAGGTCTCGCTAAAGTTCCTTTCTGCTTGAGACAGTATGTCTCCTTGAGTAGTGACTGGGAAACTAGAGAAAAACCAACTGAATTAATTCTGTAAAATTTTCATGAATTATTTTACCACCAGTAGATTAAATTATCTCACAGATCATGCAATTAGAGAATTTCACAACCCAACAATAATATAACAAGCAAGGGTTATTGAACAAAGAAATAATTTACCAGTAATATACTTCAATGTACATAAAAGTAATATAATATCAGTATCATTACATAAAAAGGTCAGAAAGCTGCCGACAATTCGATCAAGAACGTGTGAGAAATTTCGTCTTTTTATGGAAGGTGTGGTGGCTTTATTTGACTCAGTGAGAGACACAGAGGCTCCCGCTCGCTGGGTATATCAACAAAATAAAACTATTTTTGAAATAGTACCGTGCACTTTTTCTTCCCCTCGCCCAGTTCTCCCAGGGACAAAAAGAGGCCCCTGTGGAGCAGAGATAGCATGTACAAACCGGGTTTCTCATCTTGATATTTTAGGTTTTTATCAAGAGACTATAACAGAGAGGCCATCCCCCATATACACCCTTTTCCATAGGTAATTCGTCTCGAGTTATTTTTAGAATCGGGATAAAGTTACCTCGCGCGAGGCGTGGATGTTTCGTGGAGGTTTCGCATGACCAAACGCCGTGCAAAACATGTCGAGCGAGAAGCAATGAAAGCGTAAAAAGATTGAGAGCATTCCTGAATATTGAAGCGAAATGAGTCGGCGCTCACCTGGGAAAAAGGAATCGCTGGACTCTTTGACAACCCGTGAAATCAGTTTAACTCGAAGTTGTCGTAACCTCAGTGCTTTAATAAAATGAGAAATTTCGCCGGTCTATTGAAACCGGTCGTTTGTACAATTTAGGGAGTTTAAGATCCAACGACGCGGACGACAACTAGAACATCAAAAAAACAATAGGTTTAATTAGCAAAA